TTGGAAATCTGTTTTGAACAGTATTTCTTACTCGCCCCTCGGTCCCCAACTTGCCCGCCTAAACCTCTTTCAAACTCTCCCACCACTCTGAGGGCGTCCGTGCAGCCCGAAGCCCGCCCAGATTCAAAAACGAGCTCTTTCGCCACGACAGCACGGCATTACTGCCATCTTCCCATGATGGCAATTCCCTGTCCCGCAACAATCTACTCGGCTGCACCCACCGATATGCCGCGCTCTTTGACTACACAAGCCGCTGCTGAGCGCCATCGAGTCGCACGAGACAAAACAACTGCCCATAGTCGTACCTAAGCAGTCGCATTGCTCAAAAAAGATATACTGCGCTCACAAGTGGTGCGACAAACCGGCGTTTCGAGGGCCACTGTTGACCGCTTGTACTATGCTGTGCAGGCGAAAGATGAATCCCTGCAAGAGAAACTTCTCAACCCATCCATGAATCGGGCAGGGAGGAAGCCGGTCATATCAAGAGACGAATCCGTTATGATGAAGGACCGTATCAAGTATGCCGCCAAGCACGGGTTCGCCATGAGTGTTGAAGATATGAGGAGTGTTATGTACGAAATTGCTTCCGACGGACGGAAGACCTTACGCACTGACACTGGACTGCCTTCAGCTGATGCTATTCGACACTGGAGAGCTGTTAACAGGGATATAACGTACAGGAACGTCGAGAACAAAGACGTTGCGAAACTTCATGCAGAAAATTATGACCACGTTGCCAGCTTCGCGAAAGTGCTTCGGGATGTCGGGAATGACTTCCCAGGTATTTTTCAGAACCCTCATCGATTGTAGAACCTTGATGAGACGGCGGTTTCATGTGAATATGGGAAGAAAAAGAAGGTGTTTGGAGCAGCAGACACGCACCACGGAGGGTACTCAGCATGCCACGCCTCAAAGATGAATAAGCACATTACTGCTATCATCGCCGTTTCGGCCTCAGGACTAAAGGCCCCCCCTTTTTCCTTGTAGCTGGAAAGAATGTCAGGTCTTCTTGGCTGGAACCACTTACTAAAGATGAGATTGTAGAAGAAATCCCAGCTCTAGCCTGGTTGAAAAACGCAAAGTAGTGGCCGGATGGCGCGGTCGTCATGACCTCTGAAAATGGTAGCATGGAAAAACGGCTCATCAAGTTCGTGATCGAGCATGTTAACCGCTTCGTGCGCAAGTTCGTTCTAGCAGAAGACGAGTATTGTCTCACGTTGGATGGCCATTCATCCCGTGAAGGATGGCAATGGCTAGAGCAGTGCAAGAATTTGAAGTGTGCAGTGGTACAGTCGCCTTCAAACACCACACAATTCTTGCAGCCATGCGATCAACAGATCAAAAAATTGTACAAAAGAGCAATAAGAAATGCCAGAGACAACATCGTCAAAGCTACCCATCTCGACACGCGTACTGTTCGGTGTGGTCTGATGGTTGGTACAGCAGCCATCCACGAGATAACTGTAGACTGCATCAAAAAAAGCTTCGAGCGGACCGGTTTGTGACCTATGGACTATCGCTTCTTGGATCGTTTCTCTAAAGGAGAAGGAAAATTAATTGAGCGACGTTTGGAAAACGGCAGTGTCGCTTCGCGCATCAATGCTGTTGCCCGTCGTCACACGGATAGGGAAACATTTACAAAGATTAAGAGCATTTTTGAGGAGGAAACGTCGCCATGCCTTGCCCTTCGTGCGTCTGAGTACTTGATACATGGGCGCAAAACTGTTAACAGAGTTTTAATGGAGGCCGTGCAGCCCAAGGCTGCCGGCCGCAAAAAGGTAGAAGCAACTAGAGGCAAGGACCTGTCTGGTGGAACGCCGGCAATTTATTGGACTGTCGATGATCTCATTTTCCGCCGAAGGGAGAAAGAGGGAGCAGCGGTTGTTGCTGCCGAAACGAAGGAGCGAGAAGCTGTAAAAAAGAAGGCACAAAGGCTGCAGAAGAAGCTGCAAAGAGATGCAGAAAAGAAACAGAAGCGTATCGAAATAGAGGCGCGTAAAAAAGAACGGGAAGCCGTTCAAGAGGCGAAGCGACTCGCTGCTTCTGAGCGCAAACGGAAGCGAAACGGCAGCACCGCTTTGCGAAACGTGGCGAGGCCATGTCTCCAGGATCGTACTCCCGTCCTAACTGTTGGGGAGCAATCTGACTATGATGAGAGCAGTGCGGCGGGCGCACTCTTGGTTCTTGCGACGGAGAAAGGTACATTACCAAATTAACCCATTTCCCTAATTTTGCTTACTGCTGCGGTCCGGAAGGTTAGTGTTAAAGATTTTGATTAATGTCTTCTAGCCAATAAACTGGCCAGCTTTCGGGCTCTTTCATATGGCTGGAAGGCTGTGGACAATCTGTGAAGGTGATTGGTGCTGCCATACACGCGTTGTGGCAAAAAACGAAAGTGGTTTACCAAATTGACCCACTCGGGAAGGGTACATCATAAACGATAATGCGATTTGTGATTTTCGGAGTCCTCCAATACATGCGTGTTTATGTCATCCTAATGTTATGATAGTCTACAGATAGGGTGAAGTGATGCTTCGTTCTAAGGAGGTTTTGAAAATGCGAATGCAACAAGGGCAATGCCATAGTTCTGGAAAGTCGGAATTTAATATTCCACACTCCTTATCGCTGCGCAACTTGACATGGCCTTGGCGAGATTGTTTCTTCTTCCTGTCAACTGTAAACAATGCATGCCAGGGCTGCTGTTTTTGCCCTGTATGTGTGTCTCACCTTCTCTTTCTGAGATTATCGTCCCTGTTAACAGACTCACTCTTCTCGAGTGCAATCGAGCTATCGCAAAATAGGACGCACTACAGAGAGGGAGTTTGTCATCTACTTCACACGTCGGACGGCTGTAAATGGGAACCTGATGGTTTGCGGACATGAAATGTGTTCACATGCAAAACGTACCTTTGAGGCGTGACACAGTTTTTCTTTCGGAAAGTGCCCGGACGCAAATACAAGTGCCTTCCGCCAGACTGCGAATAGGTCGTGACGCTTTCACTTACTTCCCAAAAATCGCCTTTCAACGCTGCACGGCATGTTTTTTGCGAGCGCAAAGTCGATGAATTGCTCGATGAAGAAGCTTACCGTGACATACGCCACTATGTTTCCTCATTTACATCAATAAACTGTTGGTCGGTTGTTCGTACATTGAGAGAAGAGTTTTTTTCAATGCATATCGATGTATCGTGATCCGTTTTACAAAATGTCGGACTGTCTGGGCAGACCCTTTCTTGCTGACGTTTCAAGAAGTGCCCTTGAGATGCTTGTATCATTAACGCGGTATCTTGGAAGAAACACGATGTTTTTGTACATCGTAGTTGGTCGGACGACGTGTTATAACGCTTTTCTGCGGCTGTTGAGACTTACCAGACCTGCAGCAAGCCCTGTGAATGGAGACAGCGAAAACAGTTGCAGAGTGTTGTGGTATCGCGTTGCTACAAACAAAAGTATCGGAAGAATAGCCCCTGAAGCCTCGCTCTTCTCGTGGTCTCGATTGGGAAGAGTTGCAACCTCCACACGAGGCCCATGTTGCTAACATTGGTACAGAAAGGCGACGCTGGGCAACACGGGGACGAATCACGTACACAAGCTGCTGCTGCATTTTTCTTAAAAAACTACCTATTTCCACCTGCTGCAGACTAAAGCTAGAACCATTCGTGTCCAGGGATGATTTCAGTCAACACGTAGGGATGTTCAAATAGCTGTGGGGCTACGGAGCAGCCGCTAGAGAAATAATTTGTTGAGGCTGTGCGATCTGAATCAGATTCGTAAATGCTTCGATGTGGAGCGAGTTTCTCTCGCAGCATATGTTGGTGGTGAATGCCGGGACAATGGTCCTGTTTGCGTGTGACAAGGTGTTAGCCATAGTCGGTGGCCCGCGAGTACCGGAGAAAGTGCTTTGCCTAACCGGTGTGGTTGGAGGGTGGCCCGGGGGTATACTAGCGATGTATATGTTTCGGCATAAGACTAAAAAGCCAAGTTTCCTGTTCATGTATGCCATATCTATCGGAATCAATATTGTTTGTGGTGTTGGTGTTCACTTTCCGGGTGTTGTCGGCCGACAAGTTTCCGAGATGATGACGTCGACGTCGCAGGAAGTTCAGAGCTTGCAGGAACGTTTCGAAGATCGATTTTTAAGAATCATTTTGAAAGGAAATTGAGGAGGGGTAGATGATGGTTTCTGAAGGATTTTCAGCATTATCAAAGAGATTGGCAATAATGACTCGGTTTGGGTTGAATTATGGAAGCCTTGCTGCAAAGATGGCTTGTGCCCGTTTTGACCAGGGCAGAGACACGGCAAGGATCTAGGTTTGGTCTCTCTTGGCTTTTGCCTTTGCTTGTTGGGCCCGTTTCATCATCGCGCACGAGGCCCAGGGTCGGCGCGGGGCTCCCAGGAAACCCCGAGCAACTACGAAGCGGTGCAGCGTTCGGCGATTTATGCAAAGCGCTTTTTTGATAAATCTTCGGGGAGCACACTGCGGTGCCTTTAGGCGACAAACCTCCTGGAGCATGATTTTCGATTAAACCTGGCAGTTTTTGAAGTACCCTTCGAAGCGTATGACGAGCATCTGCTATTATTGAAACGAGGCTGCCCCTAAACTGTTTCGAAAGTCTGCATTGTACCGCCTTTCAGGTAACTCTTTTGAATTTCCGCATGTGACGTCCCGCCCAGCAGTTGACTACCGCAAAGTGGCCAAAGCCCCTCCTGCGTCACCGTCGCTCACTCGTAACGCCACTTTCCCTATTGCATTGCTTCCTGGACCTTCTGAGGAGCACCCGCTCTAGAACGAACTTCGTTCTACGGCTTGGGCATAGCTCCAATGGGGTCCGAATCCGACCTCGAGTCGATCGACCTTTCGGATATTGAAGGTGACGTCCTGGGCGAGGACAGCATGGGCGAAGACGATAACCCCGCCAGCCAACACGGCACCAAAATAGTCATACAAGCCCCGCCTCCGGATCCGCCAAAGCCACAGGTTGGGTCCATGGCCGCCCGTATGGCTGCCGTTCGAGCAGCGAAAAATCGGAACAAATCCAGCCCGCAGCCGCCACAGCCTCCCGTGAGCCCAGCGCCAGGGACGCGGAAAAAGCCAATCGCGGAAACAGCGAAACAACTTGGTCCATCGGCAAGCAATAAGCGTGGAAGTCCAGGCCGCCCGAAGAAGGACGCTGTGAAAAAAAAGGCTCAGGTTGTGCAAAGCACCCCACCGGTGATTGAGGTTGACGACGATAGCTCGGACGACGATTCTGATTCATCTAGCGAGAGTAGCAGCTCAGATGACGGCCGTGTGGAGTATATCGAAGACCCTCCGCACCCGCTTGATACGCCTGGAGTGTACAAGACACTCGCGAAACAGCCGGGTGCGGCGAAAAAGGTTGGCCAATTTAAAAACAGCACACAAGACGAGGATGAGGACGACGTAGCGCTCAAGAGCCTGGCCTCGAGAAGGGCTACCTCTCGCGCGCAGAAACCGACAGAATTAACTCAAGAGCATCCCGATGCAAAAGAAGAAGTCGGAGCCAGTGCGTTGCGTCAGAAGGCATCACCGAAAGGAGAAGGAGAGGGAGAGAACAAGAAAAAAGTTGCGAAGAAGCCACCGGCAACGTCTGATTCCAAAGCTGGAAACTCTTCGTCGAAACAGAGCTCGAAGGATAGTAAATCAAGTGGAAAGAAGGGAAAAGATGTAGACGTCCCAAGTGGGGACGATGGAGTCGGCGTCAAGGGTGGAGGGCAGAAATCTCAACCGAAAGTACAAGCAGCACGTTCGAAGAAGGGGAACGCTACTAACATAGCGCCAGGGCTATCCTCAGCAACTCCTAGCGGAAGCAAAGAGATCGAGGAGGGAAGTGAGTCCCGGTCCACTGATGTGAAAGTACCGAAACGGCGAGGTCGAAAGCCGAAAATAGCCGAAAAGGGCACCGCGCCAGATGTGGAAATGGTGGATATTGTTGAAGAAACAAAGGAAGTATTGCGGAAACAAGCAAAATCGACACGCGGAAAGGGCGGAGTAGGAAAGACAAAATCAGAAGCCCCTGGACGACCAGGAAAAGTAGGTGCCGAGGAAAACATGGGTGCATCTTTAGACTTCTCCAGCCTTCCTGGTGTGCACCAGGAAAAGAAACCGTACTTGCGAAGAAGAACAAAGGGCAGCCCTACAAATGATGCAGTGATGGCAGAAAAGCAAGTGTCTGATCAGGAAACTGAAAGACTGGAAGAAAGGACGGAGGACAGTAAGGATGGGCAGAAAGAGGTGCAAGGGCCTGCTTCTCGCGATGCGAAAGCACCTGCGGCGGAGGGGATTATCATTGGAAGCAAAGGTGATGATAGAGATGCTGGTCCAAAGAGAGGGCAAAGCAAAAAGGTCGCGGCAGCAAAAGCACCCGCATCACCCTCAACCAAGAAGCGTGGGGGAAAGGCGAAAACACGTGCGGCAGAACAGCCTGTTGGTGCAAGCAAAAGCGATGACAGTGGTGCAGGTCCAGGGAAAGGGCAGCGCGAACAGGTTGAAGCTGTGAAAGCGCCCGCGTCACCCTCAACCAGGAGACGTGCAGGGCGATTAGGTTCTAGAAATATTGAGCAGAATGATGGGGAAAGAATCGAAGCCGTCTCTTCGCCGGGAAGAGGTGGCAGTGCGAATGCAGCGGTGGAAAAAAAGGACTCCCCAGTTCGAAAGGGGCTAAGTGGAACTCCGAAACGAAATGGTAGCTCCATTGTCCTAGAAGGAAAAAGAGGGCGCACGTCTTCGGGCAGATGGCTACCGCGAAAAGCCCCCAAGACGACCACCACCACAGCACATGCCAAGACGGAGGAGACCGGAAGTCAAGGGAATGGAGGAAGCAAAGATGCAGGTGAATTTGACCAAGACTTTTCCTTTTCCGCGCCTGATCTCTCATATGATAAGACATTGGGTCTGGGGCCGGACGAGAAAGACGACGAGCCCATGGAGACTTCAGACGGCCATGACAATACTGTCAGACATCAAGAGGAAAAAGGAATAGATGCTACGATCCCTGCGGATCTTTACCCCGTAGAGAACGAGAATGGCAGGGCAGAAGAGAATGTCTCTAGTGACACGGCTATGGAGGAGGCGCAATCGCCGACGGAGACTAGGAACCAGAATAGAGAGTATGCATCACAGCACCCTATGGATAGAGCTCCACGTGCTGCGAGGCGTGCTCAACCAAAGATGGACCAGGGTATCGCCAAACCCCAAACCACCGACATTGTGGCGTCCCGTGAGTCTCAGCTCGGTGATGCAGGTGGTGAAGAGGGCACAGCGCCGGTGCTGAACACCCTGCAGCAGACGGAGACTGATATTCCGCTCCCGGCCATGACAGACAAAGATGAACCTTTCCAGGCAATGATGCTCTGTCAGCAACTTCAGAGAAGTTACTGGGACTTTGCCGACACACAGGACGACATGATTGATCGGTTTTTACGTCTCCTTCGAAGACGTTCGAACTTAAATCGGTTGAGGTCTGGTAATGAGCTACTCCAGGCTTGGGCATCTCCAGATGAACGGCAATACCTCCGGCGGCAGAAGTGGTGCGCAGAAGTGAATTTTGCCCGCGTAGAACTGCGTCGTATGCAAGAACATGCGTTGGAGGACTTTGCGCGAAAAGTGTCTGCTGCCCAAGAGTCGCATGTCAACACTTTGGGAGATTTTTTCTTGCGTACACCTCAGGGTGAGGCAGATGAAGGAATGCATGACCTAAGTCCAGAATCCGCAGACGCGCTGCGGAGGGCGAGTCTAGGATTTGCTGATATCCACAATGGCCACGCTCTCGGTCGTGGCAAAGATTTGATGGACTCGGACACTCCGCACGGTAATGTGAGGTTCTCACTCCCTGCCGGAACTGCACGGCCCTCAATTTCTAGCAAGCATGTCAGGAGGCAGGCCGGGACACCACCGATGTTCTCGTTTCCGGACGCCAGCAGGCAGACGCCACTACATAACGCTCCCAGCTCAGAGGACCGCAAAGCATACGACAGACCTAGGGGTAAGACGGTTCCCGGTCATGGCAGCCGGAGTGCACGCGCGACCAGAAAGCGGAGGCCAGTTGACGTACATCCTGCTTTATCCGTAGAAAACGCCAGGTCCACCTCTTTCGGCGCGAGACAATTGCTGGCAAAAGATGCAACCCCTGGTAACGTTCTCCTAGACAGTCAAGAAGACGAAGCGCAGACCAAACGTGATAAAGGCTCTGCGTTGGATGTGCCATTTTCGCAAGGCTCATTACCAGTTGCACAAGAAAATCGCGTGCAAAACGTCGGCAGCACTTCCGCGTCATCCGAAGATCTCCCACTGCAGCCGGTCGGAAAGAATGGCGCTGGACTGGCACCTGCCAAGGTCAAGCGAAAGGAAAAATCCCAACTGGCGCTTCAAGCCAATCAACGCAGCATCAAAAAAAGGGAAGATGGGGACATAGGAAACGGTGTACTAGAAACAGGGGCCAAAGCAGGCGGGTCATTACGGGGAAAGCGTCATAATGAAGGAACGGCAGGACGAGATGCAAAAGCGAATCAAAAGGCGCCCAGACGAAGAATGCCATGGGGACTGGGCGAGAAGTCTGTGATGCTCAGCGACAATACAGCTGTGCAGAAGTGGATAAGGAACGATTTTGCCAACTTGGGCAATGATTTCAGGTCAAGGGCAATTCTGAAAGTATGTAATCGAGCTGGAGGAATAACAAGGGAGGATCTCTATGCCATTCTTCCATTTCGAAAACCAACATTGATGACCCGCGTCAATGATATGAAAACCAGGGGCTTGTTGCATGAAAAGCGTACCGCCAATGCGTCCGAAACAGGAAACGAGGATGCGACAACGATCTATACAACCCAATAAACGAGCCGTGTAGGCCCAAATTGTTGGTTGGTTCCAGAGTGCTGCACTTTGGATATTATTGTACACTTCGATGTACTGTATACTTGTGCTCTTCTTCACTGCCGTGTCAAACTTGCCCGTTGTACATTTGCTGTCACCTATTCGCTCGTAATTCGACGTCATGTTGAACAGGTGTTACAGCTCATCCTTGACTAGGCCGTCAAACAGATTCCGTCCTCCCGAGTGACCACTCAAGACACCCGGGCGTGCGACGCATTCGAACGTGACATTCGTCGCCTTCGGATTGAACAAAGCATCAGCGCAAATTTCCACCACATCAGCCCTCGCAATACTCCCCGCAAGCCTGTCGCCCTGATCCACAACCAGCGGCACCTCTCCCTTCGGCGTATCAACAAAACCACCCGGGCGCACAATTGTAAATGGACAGCCTGACGCTCTCACTGCCTCCTCCCCACACAACTTGAACCTCAACAGGCCGGTCATCTGCTGCAGCTGCGGAAACCGCTCCGGCCTAGTAACCCCCAAGCTACTGACGAGCACGCTGGTCGGCGGAGGGGAGGGAACGGAACGGGAATGGGGACCGGGAATGGGGAATGGGGAATGGGGAATGGGGAATGGGGAATGGGAGCGGGAGCGGGAATGGGGAATGGGAACGGGAGCGGGAATGGGAATGGGAATGGGAATGGGAAGAGGAATGAATGGGAATATGGGTATGGGGCGGAATGACAAGCCTTGGTTTGGTAAAGAGGTAAATATCCGGAAAGCCGATTGGGCGTTTCATGCGTCTCATTGGTCGATGAGAGAATCTCGCAGAGTCAGGTGCCGGAGGAACAGAGTCTGTTCAACAGACGGGTGTTCCTGTGGGTGAAATTGACTTTTCTGTTGTGAACAGGGTCCGAATCAACTTTTCCGATTTTACCCGTCTGTTGCCACCAAAATGCACCTGATCGCCCCCCTAAACGCAACATTATCTCTTTTATTTTCTCTAACTTTCAGGGGGAGCCGATGCTCTACATATCACAGGACGGGCTTCACCGATAGAGGTGGGGAGGTGCCTGTTGTGGCGGAGGTCGAGGGAGACCCTGTCGACTTACAGACTCACATTTGGGTGCGACATGATAGGGCCGAGCCGTGATAAGGCATACGGGCGAGGGTAGCAGATGTAACGCTGGACCATATCGTGTAACTGAGGCACTGGGAGAGAGGAGCCTGGCGGTTTCAAATCAAGTGCCCGTGCGATTCTCTGCGATGCAGATGCTACCCTTGAAGGGTATCTGACGAGCTAAATGCTCAAGTACAGACGTGGGTGGTGCGGGCGCTCGGGGCGCCAGTGTTCCTGCGAGTGTTCGAGTGCGAGTGTTCCTGAGTGCACCTCCCCTGAATCTTGTACACGTCATTCGGCTCGGATCCGTTCACGACCTGAATAGATCACCGCCAAAACACGTGTACCCATGTACAGCACTGCTCATCCTCATCCAACTTGAGGCACATGTACACGTATATGTGCGACACACAAAAAGCGCGCGGAACTCCCTCGTTTAAAAACTAGAACAACTTCAAACGCCCTTCGCTCCCTCCAAAACCGAACTTCAAAACCACCGGTTTACCGCCAAAACCTCGGGACTCCCCAACACACCCATTCCCCACCTCTACCTTGTCCCCATTTCCCTCAATGCAGCTTCTCTTTCCCTTCCCACCGACCTCTTCCTCCCTCCCACGTCCTCCTCCCCGGTAAACCATGCCGCGTCTCTCCGAGCGTCAGCAAATATCTCTCCTTCTTAAAAACACCAATCCCGCTCACATCTACCCCCCTCTAACCCACTCGCTCGCCCTGCAACCCACCTCCCAGTCCATCTACCAGTCATGGTCTCCCGGCCGCCGCCGTCTCTGGGACCGCCGCCTTCTCGACCCCGCCGCCTACTTGTACAGCTACCTCCCCCCCGGCGTCCCCCCGGCCGCAGCCAACATCAACCCGCCAGAGCATCTTCTCTTTCTGGCAGCCCTACGCCTTGTCCCCAAGAGCCCTGGCAATGAACGCTGGGCTCGCGTCTCACTCCTCGTCCCAGGGCGCACGGGCAGTGAGTGCAGACGCTACTATCATCGCATTGGCCGCGCGGGCTTTATCAATCCCGAAGGCCATGTGAAGAGCAAACTAGTTTCAAAGGCCAGGATTGTCGAGGGGAAGAAGCCCGTTTGTAGCCGCAATGCTGTCTTTCTGAGGACGCATTTGAGGAAGTTCGTCCCAGACTCCCTGCCCACCCTTGATGATTCCATGCTAAGGGAACCCCTGCCGGTTGCCTCCCCGCAGGTCCAGATAGATCTATTGACGTACAAGCCCGCCCCACGCCCGCACAATCCGCCGTCGCACGAGAAACCCAAGCCCCACGCTGACATATTGTCGCGTTCTAATCCTCGCCCTACCGCAGAGGAGGCGCCCGTTGAGCCGGTCCGGAAGCGCTCGAAGAAGAACTCCCCGCCTGGTGACCCACCGCCTGGCAAGTCTGCCAGGGGCAGTGATGTTGCCGAGAGAAAGAAGAAGCTGCTGGATATTGTTACCAGGCACGCGGGCTCCATTTCTGCGCCGACCCCGTTGTCAGGCACAGCGAGCTTGAAAAAGCCGCCTCTGCCTCCCGCACACACGCGGCAGCGGCGCCCGAAAATCCGTGCTGGAGGAAATTTGTTTAAGAACCCTAAAACACGTGCCTTGCCACGACAGGGGAAGAATGCCGCTCTTTTCCGACCGCCACAGCCCAGAAACAGCCCCTCTAAACAGAAGATTCCTTTCAAGGTCAAGGCGGCAGGGGGCGTGTCACAGAAGCTGGTGGCTTTGAGCTCTAATTCTTCTCTTCCATTTGACGCGCATGCGAGGAAGAAGGCAGAGGAGATTGCTGGAACCCAGCAGCAGGAAGGGCTTGTGACACTTAAGCTGCGCATTAGGACACCAGCAAAACCATACCAGAAAGCTAGCCAGAAATCTAGAAGTACGCACACGCGGAAGGTCAGATCTTCGGTGACACCTGTGAACGAAAAAGCTGACTCAAAGACTGAAACTCTAGTCACTGAGGCTCTATCGAAGGAAAAACGCCCGGGTGTTAATGCAAACTGTGTGGCGAGCCATGAAATTGTGGATAAGGATTGCATACGCGTTTCGAAAGAAGCGACGGTTGCATCTACGAATGGTGATGTACCCGACGCGCCTCTAGTGCAGGGGAAGGCTAGCCCCGAAGTTGGCGTTCAAGCTCGTTCTGGAGCTTGCATTCACAGCCCGATGACCAGATCCGCTGAACTCAGCAAGAAAACAGATGAGCATGACAGGACTCATACGCACCCGATTCTGATGCCTTCTTCTAAAAGGTTGTATGGACCCATTTCTGCCCCTCCAGTTCCTGAGGACGTCAATCCGAGACAACAGCATACGGCTTCTGGGCAAGGCGATCGGGAGGAACCCGCGTGCCATAGTACAACTCGGGGTTTCACGCAAGTTTGTGCTCTTGCTCCACCGAATCGAAATGATAGGGTGGGTACACCTGGCTACCCGCAAAAGAACGACTCAGATAGAGGAACAGATGCAGGTACGGAGGTACTGACATGTCTATCAGACTCCGAAAGCTATCCCTTGGAGCCCTTTGAGGAGGAGGAGACTATATCATTGATGGATCCACATGAAGGCACTGATGAAGCATCTGTGAAGGCGCCAGTAGTTCCAGATTGCGTGAGAGGCGATATTGCTATGCAGGAAAATCGTTTAAAACCGAAACTAGAAAACGAGAACGAAGCAGTCACTGAAGTGTCGATAGCATCTCTACCCACCTCGCTGGTAACGAAAATCTCAATTGATTTTCTCTTGTGTGAAGAGAAGGTAGGAAAACCACGCGACGTATCGATGGCAGTTATAGAAACCGAGAAAAGGACACTATCAGAACGGATAGGAAGGTCCTGCTGTGAAGACTGCCAGGTCCGTTCTCAAACGTTGGGAGACGTCCGTTCGTTCGAGTTATTACTATCTGGGGATTACGGAGATTTGTTGTCGTGGGAGATTCCAATCAGAGCGGCTGATTGGACTCGAGCATGGGCCTCCCAGCATTGGAACGCGTGCCTCGTTGCTGAAGAAATCAATTGGGCGTATGTGTGCTTCGATGTAGTATCAAAGAGGGCACAGCAAACCCGCGAACTGATCAAAACATTTGAGGGAATTACCAGTGCCGTAGGAGAACGGCTAGGACATCGTGAAGAGCGCCGTAGGCTGTTGTACCAGTTTGAAGCGGACAACGAGTCACTCCTGAAGCGGAAGATTTTGTTCATTCGGGAAGTAAGGAAGCCGCAGGTTTCAGCGCCACATGATACTCCTACAGAAAGGGTGTCAATTCAGTACCCAAAATTCACAGCGGAACATTTTATTTCATCAAATATGGATGTGCAGTACACAGATCTTGTGAAAAGGCTCTGTTGGGATTGGGATAGCAGAATATCGAGCTTCTTCGCTATTTTGAATGAGGTGCAGAAACGGCATGATATGGAATGCCAGGCCGTTGAGAGTATGAACTTAGTCACTTGGGACTGAATTTTTTGCAACATGTCAAGATGGTACTGCTCTGCCTGGAACTGATGTGCCATTTTTATGTTTTGCAAATAGGAATTTGCGGGAAGTGGTTGAACAGGCTTTTTTCGAAGTTGAACACCAGGCCAGGTACGTGTGCATGATGAGTTTGTGACTTCTTCTGTGCGGCTAATATCTGACTGTGAGAGTGCGGTGCCTCACTTTTATACTCTCTCCGCACCCTGTTTCATAATTGTATTTTCCAGGTCACGATTCGTCACTCGTTTACCACCGCAGGCGCTCTTTTCCTACGAAACCAGTCAATTCCTGAACAGCTGAGTACTCACCGTCTAAGACCTTCAAGCAGATTATGCGTTGGATAGGACGGAGAGCAACAGGGAAGCAATACTTGCATGCGAAGGCGATTGGCACTTGCAAACCGCGAAGAAGTAGAACTGGCGTTCCGCCTCACATAAATTGAAATTTCATCCAGATACTCAAGGCTCTGTTAGTCGGTTGTGGCCTCAGCTCGAACGCCCAGAAACCTCACCTCTACAGAGTAGGCGCGCAAGAAAGTTGTTCCCAAAGGAAACTCGGTGTGAACAGATTATACGGGATTGCATGTGGCTTCTGATATACCCCTAATCGCTACGTGGACTTGAAGGACTGAGGGTAATGTAGGACTGAGGGTAATGCAGTCCCGTATCGTCGAACCCTTAAATCTGGGGCGCGGAGATATCCATGTGCACCTCCTGCCACGAAGCGTGCCACTTCGGACACGAATCTCTAAAACATCTCAACGGAGCCGGTCAACGATTGGCGGAGAGCATTACTAGAAATTGCATCGCTTGATTTTTTGCCACAAACAGCATTGTTTTTGAATAAATTTCAGAAACAGCGCACCACGGAGGCGGTTTCACCCTGTGGTGCAAAGCCGCCCCATCCCGGGATACCTTGATTCCCGCCGCCACAGTCTGCTCCCAACAAACAACGCCCTAACCTGCCTTGTCTATATCCATCGCAACCTCCCCTCCGGCCCCAACCATGTACCCCTGCCCGGCTTTCGCACTCCCCGCCTTCCCAATCCCCCGACGCTCTCGTACACGCACACTCCTCACTATGACCTCACCAACCTCCCGCCCGACCTCACCTCTCTCGGCCACCGCCCTCCCCGCCCCCCACCCCATATCCGAATACGCCCAAATCGACGGTGTCTCTGTCCACCATGTCGTCCAACCCTCTCCCCCAGCAGGAATCCTCCTCATATGTCTGCACGGTTTCGGGGCATCCGTCTACTCCTTCCGTGCCCTGTGTGCTCGCCTCCTGCCCCCTCGCCTATGGCTCTCTTTCGTTGCATTCGATGCCGTCGGCTTCGGTCTCACCTCCCGACCACGCAATCTACGATTTTATACACCGGCCTTCTCATCGCGGATCGCTCTCGCTCTCTCCAATGCCTACTCCCCAGATAGACCTTTTGCGCTTTTGGCTCACTCATTGGGAAGCCTAGGTGCAGCTCGTGCGGCTCTAGATGCTACCGGAAAGTGCAAAGCATTGATTTTGATAGCGCCTGCCATGGTGCCGCAAACCCCTTTGCCTTCACTTGTCAGAATTACCATGAGGGCAGTCATGTATGGCTTAGCATGGGCCACCATTGGACTATCGGTGCTTCTAAACCCGCTTCTCACATTCATTTTGAGACGATTAGTCAGTAGCCGCTCGTTTTGGAAGAAAGGACTGAGCTTTGCACGCGCCGATATGAAAGCGCCAGACGATATGGTAGATGGCTACTATGCGGCCACGAGCGCCGAAAGGTGGGACAAGGGCATACTTAACTTTTGTAGAGCAGCACTGATAGACAGGGCGCGTGGACTCGGGGAGGCGGAAGATTATGTGACTATGCTACGAGAAATGGGCGAGGAGGCCCCACGAGTCCTCGTTGTACATGGGGAGCAGGATCGCGTTGTGCCCGTTGCCAATTCGAGGAGGGTCGTCAACGGAATACCAGGCGCGCGGCTTGTTGTTATGAACAATTGCGGTCATTTGCCCCATGAAGAGGACCCAGATACGTTTGCCGAGATAGTCGCAGAATTTATGGAGAAGGCTGGATTGCAAACGCCTGATGTATAGAACTTAGACGTTTGAGATAAGGGCGTATCTCTGAGCTCCTCTTCGTTCAGGTCTCCCAAACCCGTCGCATGTAGAAAAGCAGAATAGAATACCAAAAGTAACTGAATATTGTATAAACACAAATCATAAATGGCTCTGTAGAGACGATAATAGTGAGAAGCGAACTACGGGTGCACTCTCTTGCTGGCTGCCCTCAGGGGTACTCGTAGCCCTGGGTTGCTCCAGCCATATTGGAGAATAATTGATCTGCTCCGATCGCCGCGCTATGAATACCGTTTCGAGGGTCTTGTGATCCCTTCCGTGCGCCGTTGCATACTCTATGGCCTGCTCCTTGTCAAACTGTTGCACGTGGTCTTGGAGCTTTGCTAGTAGAATATCGCGGCTAATTTTGCCATTGAGCACACTGTCGCTCACGTCCTTCGTTTCTCGGTCCGGGTCCTCCAACTCTTCGAAAAGTGCCACGACGGCATTTGCGACATCTGGCGCGTATTTTGTTATCAACATTTTCCGCTGCGCAGCGTCCTTCTGTGCAGCCTGACGTACGAGTTTTGTTTTGAGTTGAAGACAGCACTGCGTGATAGCTCGCTTCACGCATAGTTTGATTGAATCCGAGTCATCGCCGATGTATTCCTTACCGGTGCCTTTGAACGGCACTTTCGTCGACACAATGCTGCAAATCACACCAATGCGATCTGTATTTGGTGAGATCTTGTAACTGTTCCATCGAATACCATCCCTCGCCGTCCTCGTTACAACATCATTTCCAGCCTCGAACAAAAGTGGGATTCTGTTTGCAAACCGGAAAATATTGAGCCCGGGCTTCATTCCTGTTCCGCCAAGGGCAACCCCAGCCTCTACGATGAATGGATGACCTTCAAAGACATCAGCTGGCTCTGCGTGTGTGGCCACCATGCTTGGCTTCAACTCTTTCGTGATCCCCAAGCGTAAATTGTACTCTCCAGCTGGGGAGAGACACAAGCCATCCGGATTCTCGAATCGCGCCGCGTGAAGAAGAGCATCGATTTGGCGAATGTTGTTCAACGTCAGCTCCCCGACAGTCATATGCTGGGTAAAACCTTTCCCGAGCTCGGTTATGAGACGGGTGGCTAGGGAGCGCGGGATTGCTACAAATTGTGTAGTCAAGAATCTCACTAGACTCATGTCCTCTTTCACATCCCCAATCAGCTGTTTGAGAAGTAACTGGTTGACAGACGAAGGGTGGTGCTTCACTTCGGCAGCGGTACGTGGCATTTTGTCTGTCCTTCGCGAGAAAACCAGTTCGAAGTCTTTCGAATCCGCGTTATCGTACCCAGACGAAAAGGTGAGTCGAAATTGCGCGTAAGGGGTGATGACGGCCATTTGGCGGACGTACAACAAAATCTTAGCTCTATAGGTTGACCAATTACCCTCAATCGTTACTGAAACTTTGGACCCCCTCCAGCCTGATGGGTTCTCTTTCCGTGAAAGCTCAATAACATTTGGAATATTGCGCGCAATGTCGATATCAAGAATGCAGTTAGTGACTTCGCTGCCTGCCTTCGCAGTGTTGATACGAACAGGGAGTCCAGTGCTCATTTTGGACCATATCAGAGCCATTTTCGACCCAAGTCCAAACTTCCCACGTGTTTGTCGGACGCAATACTTAGTTCCAGCAAGTACCCTGCCCATCATGTTGGGCACATCATCGTGAGCCATGCCAGATCCGTTATCAGTGACGGTGACGCAAAAAATGTCATTTCCTCCACTTTTCCCCTTCTTCGATGAAGTTTGGGAAGGTTGAGACGCCTCTTGAGTCGATTCAAGAGTGAGTTCTTTCGAATCATTAGCATCATCGTTATCTGTCTGGAGCTGCCCCGATCCTGAGGCGGAAAGACTCCCATCCTTGCTCTTTGTTCTCTTGGCTTCTCTTTTCTCTTTGGCTTCTCTGGCCTTCCTCTCCTTGACACTTTCTACATCCTTATACAGAGAGGCATCCACTCTATTCCGATTCCCATCCATGCCGACCATGGTGCGAAATTGCTGCTTATCGATGCGCGCCACGAAGATCTCAATGTCAGGTAGGGTGCCGATGGCCTCTGCGGCATCCAGCCCATTTTCGACGAGTTCTCGGATTGTTGTGTAGAGAGACTTTCCTGGATTGTCAAAGCCGGCAATATTCTTGTTCTCCGCGAAAAACTCGGCAGGAGATTTGAATTTTAGTTTTGTATCACGGTCACCTTGGCTCTTCGATGTGCTCTTTGTCGCGGTTTTTGACTTGCCCCGACCGTTTGGATTTGCCGTTTTGACTAGTCTCGGCCGCTTCGCAACCGGACCGGAGCTTTTTCCGCCAGGACGCTTCCCAGAGTTGGACATATCCCGGCTTGAGTCGAGCTAAACTGGAACGGGAGGATAAGACTTGGCGTGCGCCTTCGCTTTCAGATCAAAACAATTGTTGCCTCTCCGCCTGCGTTGAGAATTGTTTTCGTTGTGGCCGGTGTCGATGATGCAAGTTGCAATGCTATTTGGTTACGATGGCTGCCGCGGGGTCAGTTAGTTTGGGTGTTCTCTGCGCTCCTTGGGCTGTGGGGAACGTGACAGGTCGCCGGGCGTGATGGAGGTGTGTTTCGGACGTGCTCCACCTGCGGCCTGCAAAAAAATGGTGTATGACCGATTCCCGCCAAATATTTGATTGCTTGACGCTTCCCCGAAGAAATTCGTGTCATCTTTTTCAACAATGCGCCCCCATCCCTTCTTCTCAAAGAAAAGGACCGATCCGTACACAGCAGGCCCACAGGCCCGCCTCAGTCCGTACCGACCATAAAATTTACTGCACCTTTGGTTGCACCACTGTTCACTCGATACGAGTTCCACCTAGACGTCCCAGTTCATAGCTGGCAGTTATAGTATCTCGAGTTTGCTCCAACTCTCGTCACCTTCCGATCCTTCTCTGCCTCAAATCGAGACATGAAAGGGCAGTGCGGGCCTTACCGCACATCTTGTTTCCCATGATTCATTGCATGCTCGACTCAAGTCCAGACTTCATTCCTCAAAGGCAGCGTTTGCAGCAGACTTCGCGAAGAAAGGTGGAATGGAAGGAGCAATCATACTAATTCCTTTGGCGAGCACGAAACCGTAGAGTAATTCGAGAGACGTACGTATCTGCGCATCACGCAGAACCGTCTTCGCTGCATTTTTTTCTGTACACTATATGTAAACAACAACAATGTTCAAAATTGTAAAATCGTATCACCCATCCAATCTCCCTTCATACCCTTACTTGACATTGTTCAGAACGACAACTTGACAATAAACTACAGGCCAGAGTTATCTCCCTCAAACCTTCTCCTTCTTGCCCTCTCTTCTTCAGACTCTGGACGTTCTTGTTGTGGAGGCAGCTGCGGTGGTGGATACGGAAGGGCTGGTGGTGCAGGCGGAATTGTTCTTCCTTCTGCTGGGCCGCCAGCACTGCCAAACGTCGGGAGATTCCTAGGAAACATTCTGTGAGGTTGTTGCATAGGTGTTATCGTATCACCGACCAGAGCACGGTCATCTCTCACTGTATCGCGAGCCAGGGAAGGTCCAGGTGCCGTTGCGGGCGCCGTGCTGGGACTGCTAGAGTAATACGGACTGTATGTAGCCATATACTCAGGATGCGCTTGTTCGTAGTGCTCGTTGAGCTGGACTTTGCGAGAAAACGGTAAGCCGCAGTGCTCACAAAAATATTTCGCTTGCTTCTTATCGTGCACGCTGCGAACATGCGTATCGCAGAGCCCCCGCTGAGGAAAGCTCAACTCACAATATGGGCATCTAAACGTCCGAACGTCGTCATGAACTGACGCTCTGTGTTTCAGCATGTTAGACCTACAGACATGGGCAGATAATCATACACAGAAGCAAGTTAGAAATCGTATATCGAGAGAGCAACTTCTGAGAGAATGACCGATCTTGCGACTTACTTTTCACCAAAAGTTTTTTGACATATCGGACAATTGAAAGGACGACTCTTTTCATGTACTACGCGCACATGTCTATTCTTGTCGCTCTTTCTCTTGAATGTGGAAGTACATCGATCGCAGGAGAACACCTGGTCTCGTTCTTGTGACGTCCCTATACGTCTCCCTCTCCTGCCCCGCGTGCTTGGTATGACTCGCTGTATTTCGGAGATCTCTGCAGGCGGAGAGAGCGACGCCCCAGGTGGTTGCGCTTGTGACACTCCGGAGCCTGACGCGGAACCTGAGTGTTGCGTTAAGTTGCTTGCATATTGTCCCACAGGACTAAATTGAGGCGGGGGTTGCACACCCGGAAAAATGTGGCTTGGAATAGTGTCCCCGATTATGCGTTGACTAAGAGTCTCAGGTGCAGGATGCTGGATGGTGCCTTGCATAGATGGTAGAGCAACACCAGGCCCAGTTCCTAATGGAGTGTCTCTTCGGACTAGAGGAGACAATGTTCCAGAGGATACGCTAGGTCCTGCACCGCCGAATGGAGACAGGCGCCCAAGCCAGTGGCTCGCGGTCCGCCGAAAACTTCTGGGTGTCGCATACCGGCTTGGGTCTCCACGCCCCGGTGATCTGACAATTCTATCCGGATATGCTTGTGCCGTTGCTCCGAATAGAGGATCTTGCAGCGAAGGAAGTGCAGGCTGTGCATTTCGTTGCCTAGTCGGCGACCTGAGACGCAGTGCTGGCAAAGTTGACATTCGATGCAGACGCTCCGCTTCCCCCTGGGGATGGCCCATTCCTGTATAGCTCCGCGGTGCCATGCCCAGGCGCTGACCTAGACCCGTAATTGGCCGCCCAGCATCTCGTTGCAGCGGTGGCGGTTGTGGCAGCGGTTGCGTCTGTGTTTGTGTTTGCAGTCGCGGTTGTGTTTGTGGCAGTGGCAGTGGCAGTGGCAGTGGCAGTGGCCGTACTTGTGGTTGCTGCACTATCGGTCCCTGTTGCACTGCGCGTCTTTGTGCAGGCGTCACCCCTTCGGACACAGGTCTCTCCTGCAAGACGGTACCCCAGAAAGCACCAGATGGGCTTTGTTGGCCACCGCTTGGAGGCCCTGAGAACCTCTTTCTCTTCTCAAATTGGCTGCCATCGTCGCTTTCGCCTTCTAGAAGAGATGTCGAAGCTCTCTTTGACCTTCGAGATACCTGACGCTCTTCATCCGCAGGCCCTTCACCTGTCGGCGGTGGTATTGGCGATTCTGCAGGAGGCCGCAATGTCTCACGTGGGTGGGCAGGAGCCCACGTGTGGACTTCCCCCGCCGTGGCCGCCACGATTTGTGAGTCGGCCTCCGCTTCCGGAGTAATAGCAATTCGTGTCGGTGGAGGGATGGCGTCCGGTCGGTCCTGGTGCGGTGAGAGCACAATGGTGACGACGCGGAATCGAGAATTGGATACAACGGAAGAAAGACTAGCGACCGCTTCGCGCAAACCTGGAATCTGACGTTCAATGCTTTGATCCCAGGGGGGCTGGTCGGACATGAGCCGCCAGAGTTGCACGCAAGACACGCCAGCAGGAACATGCGATTGTGCAGCGCAGTGTGTGAAGAAGAGCGCGTGCCGTCTTGTCTGACGTCGCGTGATAAGCGAAGTAGTTTATACCAGCGGTTTCGAGAAAAGGATATATATATAGATCACTCTCAGAGGAATACATGATAGAGTTTTGCACAGAATGGCGGTCATACACATGTTTCAAAATTATTAATCATAGGTAACACGCGTGATAAATATAGACAAACCATTTCAACGCGTGGTTGTGTCATAGTGTACCCCCAGGACTTGGTGCTCGTTCACTGCGCTTGCCGGGAGATGACGATTTGAAACCCCTTTTGAGAATATGAATGTCTCTGTAACGCGTGGGTAGCAAACCCGTAGGGTGCCAACAGGGGAGGGTCACAGTAGTATCCGCAGGGTACCAACTCCGGTATCCGCGGTGACCATTGTCTTTGTGTGTCCTAGTTCTCGCTTCCTGTTTTCTGTACATATATGCTTTGTTTATGCTGTACAGAACATGTCTGCCTGAACAAAAGTGACGTCGCAGAAGGAGGGGATAGGCGCTCTGTAAAGATCGAGGCAATGTTATTCCGCAGTTGTAGAACAGGGGCAACGTGTGTACTGAATGTTAACTGTGCCTTGACAGCAGGAAACCTGAACACAAGATCCCGTACAGTACCCCAATATGGAGAAGCGTTTTGGTCGTTGCGGCACGAGCACAATCGTCTTGCTAAAGCCATCTAAACGTCCAGCTCGAGACTGGCGCCGCGTAAGTCAAGCGTGTACAGAGCCACTCCGCGTTGCTTCTGCGGCCATGGACCTTTGATATAGTGCCATTTCCTGGTCTTTCTTTCTATTCGATGGTTATCAGAAAGGTTGTCCATGAAATGAAAGTTCGCGAAGTACCATATCAGCTGTGGTATTCTCTCATTACTACGCATCCTACAAATCCTTGGTACCGTAGGACTTTTGATAGATTTGTGTCGCGTTTAGCAGGAAGTGATATGGGAAGGAGAAGAGTTTGACTGAGACTGTCATGGTCGTTGATGCGTTCGCAAACGATGAGGACGATGAGAATGTGTGCTATGTTGTTGATTGCATCAGGGAAAAACACCCAGAGACCCTTTCAAAATGAATAAAACGAAATCATCATCACAAGATATGATTCTTGCGGAAGATTTCTTTTTCGTTGTCGTGTTTTAAAAGCCGAGCTAAAACCTTGGAGAGCTTTCGGACATGCTCGGAGAGAAGCATGGGTCGAGAGCTTGGGGCAGAGTCGAGAAGCAAGAGAACCTTTCACAGAGGTATAGGTTATGAAAGCGCACGGATTTCGAAACCTAATGCACTAGAGGAAAAAGGGTCCTGTAGCGCGAATTTGAGGTACTGCGGCAATGGAAAATCAAGTAGAGATTGGTATTTTCTCGAGAAAACACGGATGAATATGGAGCTATCGAGAGTTCAAGAGAGAAGATTGGTCCATGTGAAATCCGAAAATAGAGCCAATGCAAGATAGTGTTTGTGGAGTGTGGGTGATGGTGTGCGGCTTGGTCAGCCTTTCGTTTTTTGATTCAGCCCACCCAAGGCGGGGCGACAGGGCGGGAAAATGAAGCGTTTGCAGGTTGTTTCGCAGGTGAGAATCCACTTGGTGAAGAATTCTACATGTCAGTGACTGGCTCTGGAGGGCATGAGACGTGATATGAGAGAAAGATACTCTTTCTGGTGTGCTGCTGCAGAAATGAATTGCGCAAAAGGGCATAGGTATGAGGCCTATCAAAAACGGGAGAAGGCGAGAGGACTAGACTCGCTCGAGACTCAGCTTCCCACATTCACACACATATATCGATACACATGGCATACTGTATATGGAAATTATTTTGTGACGAGGAGG